GTAAACAAAGCAAAGGGATAATAGTAAAATTACAAGCAAAAAATAAACAAATAAAACGTGTTTCACTATACAGTAAGATGTTTTACATTGTTTTCGTTTTTTCAGTGTGCGACGAATACTTCGATTCTTCCGACGGAACCTCGGATATTGACGAGGAAATTAGCCATTTAGAAAACACAATACAGGCATTGACTGCTGAGAGGGATAGACTTAAACAAGAAATATTGGGGCAATAAAGACACAAGGAAATTGCGCGGGAAATCACCTAACAATATTGTTTTCTTTTTTTTTTTGTTGCAGAAAGACTATGACATTTTTATTTATATATTTCTAGAATTGCTTAACGAACTTGTTTAAACAGTTTTGTTAGGCTTGCTCAGCGCTTTACAAATACGTGTTAGATACGTAAAATGTCGAAACTTGCCGAAATTTTGAGAATATACATGAATATTTTACTTACATTGTAAGAAGAAATACACAATACACAACAAATACAGAAGGCTTTCGGTGTTTGCATAAATTGCTAAACTTGTATTTACTTAACGCTTAAATATGATTTTTCATTCTTCATTCAAAGATTTTTTTCTTAAACAGCGGCTCGAAAGTTTCCACCCCACCCTGCCCATTATACCCCTTTTTAGAATCAACTTCCCAGTAACATAATATTATGGTATGGCTATTCCAAGGAGACGTGGTTAAGTTGCAGTATAAATTTACGTGACTTTCTCAAGATTTTCTTCACTAATAAACACATATTTCAATAATGACAAGGATGTCTTCAAAGTGTCTCACTGTCCTAAAAATGTGTATTTATAGATTTAAACTTGTTTTAAAATCCACGTTTAGGACGTGCACGTCCTCTCTATTTAACGCTCATGAAATGGGTTGTCGATTACCAGGCCAAGACCACCCAGCGATGAATACTATCAAACCCCGCGTACTGGTTACGCTACTGCCATCACACAAATCACGTGAGGATGATCTTATCACATGGTTGTATCAAGCTGGCGGATACGCCAAAGAAATCGTTGAACAGTTGTTCTATCTGTAATAAACAGCGACATTATATAATTATTACCCCTCACTTTTTTCGTAATGCTAATTTCCCATACGCCTCTGGGAGTTATTTTTACTGCTAATGCAAGTGTACCACGTGACTAAGAATTTTGTACTGTTAAATAGGTAACAGTATTTTTTAACTGTATAAAATCTGGTCACGTGGTCTATTTTCTAAATAAAATGAAATAAAATGGCCGCCATTTTTTCTCGATTCATTCTTATTTTCAACGTTAAAGCCCGATAGGACATCAATTTCTTCTCTGGAGTAACTATGACACTCATAAAATTTAGTTGTTTGCAACCTGGTGTGCTTTTCGCGTATAAAATATCTTTTTGTTGAATAGTCAAAAAGTGAACATCCGTTTTCAACGGAAGTAATTTCAATGTAAATAATAATTATATGTGTCAAACTGGAACATGCATACGATTTAAGCACGCAACAAAGGATTATTTTACAATTTTAATCAGTGAAACGTTACAGATATGGTGGACACACATAGGATATCATCGTTATTTTGTCAAAAACCATGCTAAGAATATTCTGGAAACAGAAGGATCAGATTTCACAGATCATAACCGTGTAAATGGGTTAGTGATAAAACCTAGCTTATTTTATATTTATGATTTGTAGATATCATCACTTGCTTAAAGAATAAAAGAAAAAGAAAACTTCTTAAGTAGGCCTAAAGTACACTTAAAACTTATGTGCTATTTAAAATAATATGAAAATACTGTTACCCGAGGCGTAGCCGAGGGTAACAGTATTTTTACGAGGGATGATATTTTTACTGTTACTCACAAACCCATGTGTTATTTATTTTATTAACCCGAACTAAAATACTGATCTGAAATTGTCAACTAAATCTAACTGTAACAAAAATAAACCAAGAGTAACAATAACTAAACTGTCCTTACCTTTTAAGTTTTAAGTGAACTTTAGGCCTACTTTTCTTTTCTCGGATCGGCTACGGAAGAACCAGGAAAGAGCTTGCAGATGTTGTAAAGAGAATTATTGATGAAGACGGTAGAAAGACCCCTTTTAAGGACAACCTACCTGGTAGGAAATGGATGAATGGCTTTTTTTCACGTCACCCTGCTCTTAATTTGCGTACCACCGTACAACTAGGGAAAGAGCGGGCCATCATAAGCAAAGGCAAAATAATGAAATGGTTCGAGGATTTGAAACAATACGTTACGGACGAAGTTGGTGATGCTAATTTGCTAGAAGATCCGAGTAGAATTTATAACGCAGACGAAAGTGGAATCTCTTTGTGTCAGACAAAGAATCGCAAAGTTATAGGAGAGATAGGAGCACCAGTTGTATAACAATATGGAAATTCTGATAAGACTCAAATGACCATAATGGCCGCAGCAAGTGCCGTTGGTCATTATATTCAACCCATGATCATTTACCCCGGGCAGCGGTTTTCGTACAACCCTCTTGAGGGATTTGAGGAAGCTGCCATGGGTCGTTCAGAGAACGGATGGATGGACTCCGAAGTTTTCATATCATGGTTAAAGGAGGTCTTTATTCCATGTGTTGAAGCCAGAAAGGTCAAAAAGCCCATCCTGCTACTCGTAGATGGGCATAAGACTCATATTACAATGGAGGCATCTAATATATGTGTGGAAAATGGCATTGAAATGTACTGTTTATTAGAACATTCTTCTCATTTGACCCAGCCTTTGGACTTGCGTCTTTTTGGCAGTTTAAAGCAGTCATGGCGCGAGGCTGTACGGGCGTATCAGTCAGAGAACATAGGTGAATTTGTAACTAAACAAACCTTTGCAAGAGTCTTCAAGGAAGCATGGCGTAAAAGTGCGAAGATCGAAGCGGTGATAACGGGATTTCAAGACTCTGGTATTTTCCCATGGAATCCTCAGAAAGTTTTGGCATCTGTGAAGCTCGAACCAAGCACCATGTTCATTGAAGCTCCAGCTGCTAAGAAATTGACGACAGATTCTGACCCAACAATAATTACAACACCTGTTATTTTTCCAAAAACCACTGTCTTGGGATCAGTTGTAGATCACGTATTACGACTGATTCTTCTCCTGTCGCGTCCATGCCAGTGGAGTCGACAACTACAGCAACTACTGTTGTTACAGCAGCTTTAACTCCTCCTACATCAGCTGGTAAATTATCGCCGTCAGATATTGTAAACGAATCTGTGCTTGATGCAATACCTACAGCTTCAACTGATTTAGTCACCACTCCATCTAAGCCATCTACCGTCGTGTCTCTATCAGTGGAGCCGACTGATACATCAACTGCCTCCATGTCTACTGTGACACCTAACATTACGACTGATTTTGTTACAACACCATCTAAATCTTCGGATGAATGTGTTTCTAAAGCAACAGACGAATCTATATCACCATTTAGCAAACATTTAATATTCCCAAAGACTGAAACAAAGAAACCAAAAGCACGTAAAATGATAATGCCAAAAGCAATTACAGGGGAAAAGTACAGACAATGGTTGAAAGAAAAAGAAGAAAAGAAAGAAAAGGAATTGAAAGAAAAACAGCAACGACAGAGAGAACGATTACAAAAGAAACTCAAGAGAGCCAAAGAGCTGAAGGAAAAACAGATTGCACTCGAAAAGAAACGGAAGGATAGAGAAGAGGCGAAGAAAAAGCTAAAAGAACTGAAGGAGAAAAAGAAGCAAGAGAATGAACAGATCATAAAAGAAATTGAGGCATCCGATTCGGATGATAATATTGCAGTAAGTCCTACAAGCTGTTTTAAGTGCGAAACACCTTATGAGGACTATATACAGTGCTCAAATTGTTTCAGGCGCTTTCATCTTACATGTGTTGCCGATGAACTTACCGACTGCCCGGATGATCTTCCTTTCGAATGTAAATACTGTTAGTGTTAGTGCAACAACATATATTCTCCACATATAGAAGATGAATAGATTCAGCAACACAAATTACTTGATGCAAACTGTAGTTACAATGTAATATTGTCGCTTAAAATATGCTATCGTTTGAATTTTTTTTGGTATTTGAAACTATATATTTTCCTTTTCGTTGACATTCAATACTTTTGTTGTAGAAATGAATATGTTTAATAAATTTCTTGAACATTTTAAAAATACTTTGATGATTGACAAAACGCTTTTCTAAGGTAGATTTGTGCCATGGCTTTTAGAAATTAATATAAAATGATACACACTTAGTATTCTTGAATATACTACAAAGTACGAAAATGGTGTTTATTTGTTTACGCAACATATTTTTTAAAAAAGTTCCTCATGTTCGGAATTAGGAACACCAATGTTCGGAATTACAATCATTGTTCGGTATAAGGGGCAGTTGGTAGATCTTTTGATCGGACGATAACGCCTTTATTTGTATTCGTTAGTGTTCTAATACCGGCGAAAATTGTAGCATAATCACTAATCTATTGAAGAGTTGTCTCTCTTTAGTTTAAAGTGGTCATAATATTCCGACCGAAGTAAAACGCGGCTAAAGTGTTCGGTAATAAGTACACCCGCTCTATTGTTTCTTTTAAAGAGCTCGCTTTGAGGCTTTGCCTTTTTTATATTATTCATAATTAAGAATTACGAAACAAAAAAAATGCGATATTCTCTGTTACGATTCATACATTATTATTTGATTTTCATGAGCTTTAAAAATGGTGCGCTGTTTAATAAATAGAGGATATTGAATGAGTGTAAGTTCAATACTGAATTTATTGCACGAGTTCAATAAAATTATATAATGCGAGCCTTTATCATATACCCAAAATAAGGACCGTTTAAAGAGAAATAAGTCATTTTTCATTGACGCGCCTATAGTATAAAGCTAACATTTAGCGCGTCTTTACACTATGTTTGTATAACGCTAATGACGTCACGTCAAAATATATGCACGGCCGTGCAATACCATGTTTACGGAGTCGCAAATCGGCACGGGTGTGTGATAAGTTATTTTACCGCTACATACGGTAACTGCCTGATATCAAAAATAAGCCCCGCCCTTTTCAATTGCTTATATTCTTATTTTTATCAGCATGTGAATTCTACAATTTTATCTCATACCCATACAAGTCTTGAATCAAGATGCGATAATGATTTATTTATAATTCATTTTTCGATTTCAATTACGAATAAATTAGATAGCGAATAGTGAAACCCAAACTAAATGTAGTGACATAATTAACACTGCAAATGACATCATCGCCTTCGATGTCCACGTCATACTATAAAGTAACATAACAAACCATGGACAATTTTCTTTTGAGAACTTGTAAATGTTGACTTTATTTCGCCAAATTATCATTTAATAAGTGAACAAATTGTTTCGTCCAAATAAAATATACTGTACGTTAATTTTTTAGTATACTGTAGATAACTGAGGAGTCTAAGTTCTTGCATACAATACTGATATTGAATTTGATCTTCTTTGACCTTGATCAAGTATTTAGATACCATATAAATTTACTGCAACAGAAACTTCTGTTTGATTTGTTTTCTTTTATTTAAACAAATAAAAACAGTTTTATTTATTTATTCCATTTTGACAGAAAAGGTTTTGTTTTTTCCAGATTTTCAGACATTGAAAAGTTTTCCGTTGTAACGGGATATGTCCCGAACATAGAAAAGGTTTCAGAAAAGATGAATTATACAAAACAAGGTTTGTCTATTTTGTTATAACTGGGTTTTACAACAGGCTTATTTTTCAGCAAGATCATCTATTTACTGTGTTTTTTTTTCAAAATCTGTCTAGTAATAAATTTTTCATAGGGTATAACTATTACTAATTTCATATTTCTATGAATTAAAGAATTTTCTTTCAAAGCAATTATAGATTTGTCTCTACCCCTCTAAGTTGTACCTCTGAAACTTTTCCTTTAAATCTCATTTACATGTACTTGTGTCTAATCTACCCGGTATCTTTATCATGTCGTCTGCAATAATAGCGTTCCTGAATGTCGTCTGCTATGACATAGATTTCTCATTTCTTAACAAGTTCGTATAATTCCCACTTTATCTTTCACTTTACTTTCTTTCCTCTTTACCATTAGACAAAAGATTTACAAGTGCCCTCCGCACTTTGAGAAATTCTGTTTTCAAGAAATCACGAAAAGATTATAACCTTCTCACAAATGACAAGTCAAAAAAATCATTGTAAGAAATATCACCTTTCTTTCTTTCCTTCTATCTTTCTCTCTTTTCTATAGAACTAATTATTAAATTAACAAAACTTTCCTGTCGAAAATGATGATATCTGAAAGAAACATTTAGTGACCATCTACAACTTAAAGATATTTAGCTCATCAATTGTAATCATAAACAGTCTGCAATCATCACATAAAATGTGTGTCTGCGAATTAAATTCGAATTTTCTTACTCTTAAAATAGTTTTTGTCCTTAAACTTTCAGTATTCGATGTCATTATTTAATATTTGCTTGCATAGATTTTCATCAGAGACCAAAGCCGAGTTAAGAGAATGGACGCAGAAATTGGTACAGTTAATAAAGAGACACGAGAGGGCGCTGCTAGCCCTCAAAAACGCTAAAATGGTAAATTAGCATTACTTTAATATTGTTTCCATGGAAATTATTTTCTATTGATATGGAAGTATATTTTTCTTTTAGCACACGCAAGGAACAGGACAGGGCTAGAACTATTTGAAATATTACTGTACAACTTTGTTAGAACTTTTAACACAGAAAACGTTGTGTGTTTTCTACAATGGACAAAATTCGTTATGTATTTTAAAGGCCCAATAAGATTCGAATTCTAAATCTTTTTCGGTAATGGTTTTTTTTTAATTATTAATTATCCTTTCATTTGAATATAACAAATTTACAATATAATTTTGTTAACAGAAATTGGAAATCCAAAGACAAACTAGACGAGTACAAACTTTCTCTAGTGACACAGAAATCCGCTCTTAGATATAACCAAGATGAAAAGAAACCAAGAACCGCTGCTATAAAGGTTCGTAACTTTCTAGACAGAAAGAAAATTTATTGGGTAAACATCACTTTCAGTGGACATTATTGTCGTCACTTCCGGTTCTGTTCATACGTAAAGAGACATTTTCTTTGACGTATAAACTAAGACGAAATAAATGTTCCGTTAAAATAACCCATTTTCTTTCGTAAATTTCTGCCGAGTGTATTGAATAATTTATCTACATGTATTCTATATTTTTTTAATTTACTCCAGTCATTATATATTTTGTTGATTTGTTTATAGCTTATGCAAGTATTGCTAGAGAAGAGAACGCTTTTACACGAGAAAATCCTCAGAGAGTTGGAGACAAAATTCCTGGCTGAAATAACCCTTAGATAGAAAATAAACAAGTTATGTTCTCAATTCCTTTTTAATTGAATCTATAAACTTAAAAGCAACAACTATATTTTTACACGTATTTGAGTTCTAATTCACTGATAAGATTGGCTTGACAGGCTGACCTTGACTGGTAGCACAAAACCAGTCAATGGTAAATGAAAATGATCGGCAAATTATGGAAACAAATCTTAAAATACCTTTTTTTAATTATCCAACAGAGATCTTCCTTGGAATCGTCTTCTAGTGGGAGGGGTATTGAGTTTTTTCTAGATGTAAGAAACACACAAGACATTAAATATGAAACTTTTAATAAGAATGTAAAATTATCTTTAAACTGTAATATAAAAAAAAAGGTATCTAAGTTCTTCCTCCTCATTTCTGATTTTTTTTAATTATTCTTTAATTATAAAATATGTTGAACTGACATCACATGAGAATGGAAATTGTTACAAAATTCCTAAAATCAGGAAGTACTAGTAAGCATGTTTATTTTCTTGTTTAGATTTCTCGAGATATGGAATATGAAATATGATAAACAAGATCAACAAGGAAAGGCGGCGTTCAATGAACGCAACCCCCTGACATAGTTGATATGATGGTAGATAGCATTACAGTAATGATGACTGACAATAAACAGGTTATAAAATTCCGGAAATAAAGTGATTCCTCGGAAGCATTAATCACAACAAAATAACATAAGAATTGCAGACTCGGTTTGATTGAGTCTGTACATGAGGGATAATGAATAAGTGCAACATCCCTCACGCCCCCTAGCACCGGCTTGAGCGGTACTCAATTCTCAACACTTTATAGTGTTGGCATCAATGATCCCGAAGGACCAGAAAATATAACAACACTGAAGTGAAGTACGGGGCAACTTTTTTGTCGCACAAAATTTACAACTTTTCTATATCAACATATTCGTAAAGATGGTCATTCATTAGCTCGACTTTTTTTTTTGAAAAAAAAAGTAGAGGTATTGTTATAGTCAGGTCGGCGTTCCCGTTGCCATTGCCGTTGCCGTTGCCGTCCGCAAACTTGTACCTGAATCATAACTTTTTTATTTCTTGGTGTATTGTCTTCATACTTGGCCACAACAACCCTTGGGACAAGACCTTTCAGTAGACCACACTAACCTTGACCTTCATCCATAAATGACCTTGACCTTCAAGGTTAAAAGTCCAATTTTTGCTTGTTCATGCTGTTATTGGCTGTTACTTTGTTATTTTTGAATGGATTGTCTTCAAACTTGAACATAATAATCTTTAAGGATATCCCTTAAAAATAACCAGCCAGACCTTGACCTTCACTCATAAATGACCTTGACTTTGAAGGTCAAATTATTGAAATTTTCATTTTTTTGGCTTTTATTGGCTGTAACTTTGTTATTTTTGAATGGATTGTCTTGAAACTTGAACATAATAATCTTCAAAGATTACTGTTAAAAATACACCGAAAGACCTTGACCTTCACTCATTAATGACATTGTCTTTGAAGGTCAAATTATTGAAATTTTCATTGTTTTGGCGGTAACTGACTGTAACTTTGCTATTATTGAAGGGATCAACTTCATATTATAAGAGAACATTCTTAAGGACCAGACCTTGTTGTTTATCAAACCCAAATTTGCTTGGGCTCTTTAATGACCTTGACCTTGAAGGTTAAATTACTGAATTTTCTCAGATTTGTGCATTAAATGACCATAATTATATATTTATTGGTGTGTGTGTGTGTCTATATATATATATATATATATTTACAACAACAACAACTAGAATTGCGTCATTGTTTCTATTTATAGAATTGCGTCATTGTTTCTATTTATAGAATTGGGTCATTGTTTCTATTTATCGAATTGCGTCATTCTTTCTATTTATAGAAATTGCGTCATTCTTTCTATTTTTAGAAATTGCGTCATTCATTCTATTTTTAGAAATTGCATCATTGTTGCTATTTTTAGAAATTGCGTCATTGTTTCTATTTTTAGAAATTGCGTCATGTTGCTATTTTAAGAAATTGCGTCATTGTTGCTATTTTTAGAAATTGCGTCATTTTTTCTATTTTAAGAAATTGCGTCATTGTTGCTATTTTTAGAAATTGCGTCATTTTTTCTATTTTAAGAAATTGCGTCAT